ATCCGATAGAGCTATCCGTGTTCGAGTTGCTGTTTGTTGCCACGTACAGATCGTTACCACAACCGAATGTTGGTCCATAGCCACCGTTATGACAAACTGCATAAGCTGCATATTGATGAACGACTGAGTATTTGGTCGGTGAAATATTATGTGGATTCGTTAGAGTGAACAAGAACGCAGTGCTATCCTTTGCAAAGTCACCACTAGAAGTCCAAGGAACTGAGGTGTAACCACCGAAAAGATAACCACAGTCCGATTGGATAATGGTCATTGTCCGCCCATTATTATTACAACATGAATGAAATGAAGCGGCATCGAATCCATGAATTGACGCTTTGTAGATTAGTGCCCATTGCTGATTTGGTTTCTTATAAAATTCATTTAAAATACTCTTGTGTTCAGATGAAAGTAGTGTACTATTCGGAAAGCTATCTTCGATTCGAATAGACGTATGTTCTTCATCTTGTATGGATAAATTGAAAGCTATTGTTTCGAGAATGTCAGATGCATCTAGTGGTTCCACGGAGATGTCACATTCTTCTCCGCTCGACATCATCTCAAAATGAAAATTTTTCAAAACTGATTTTAACCTGTGTCACACTTTACCGCACAAATTAGTTTACGGACGTTATTGATGGAACCGGTGTAGTTTTCTTAAGATCGATACAGTTGCCGGTCTTAAAATGCTTGTTATCACAGCCCATTTTGGATTGAAATATGGAACTCACATAAACTCTTCAGCCTCTCTAAACTAATATTTAAATGCTTAATTGAAAACTCTAGTAAATTGTAAGTGAGTGGGTGGAAGTCGCTATAGTATGTCAAGAAGAGAGGTAAGGACTCACAAAAATGTCTACATAAAACTTAAATATCACTATTTTCTTCGAAAATATGAATTCGACAAAATTCAGACTGGATGAGACTGACCGCTCTATCGGTATAAACTGGTGCAGCAATAATAAATCGATTCTTGCAATGAAATTTGTTTTAATAGTGGACTCTTCCAAATTTGTAACTTAGATCATGAGGTTGAAATAGCTGAACATTTATGTTTATGTATGTTAATATGTAATTTCCGGTTCAAAAAACATCAATAAGTGTCCGAAATAAAGAATGCATTCTGCTAGTACGATGGAATCACATTTAGTGCATTGGTTATAATCTAAGTTGGTAACTTAGAAGACTTCACTATAAAATAGAATTCCATGGTATGAATCGACCTATTATAGCTATACCGATAAAAATTGTGCGACCGGCTGGTTGCTAGTATCGGTTCCATCTATCACGAACGTTACGTTTTGTAGTTTTCCTACAACTCATCTAAAAACAATTAGAATTAAAATCCGATGAAAATTGATTAAAAATTGTGCTAAAACGATTGATTTTAATTGATTTTTACTTATGATAAATGTAAAAACCTTCAACCAATTTTCATCACTTTGGATTACAACTATAATCAATGAAATTTTTGATTATTTTGGGTATTTTCCATTAAGACCAGTTGAAAAATTATTAAAAAGCGATCAAAAGTATATGTTTATAATTGACTTTCATCTAGTTTTAACCTTAATTTTTTCCACGTAGAGAACAGGTAAATAATGGTTGTTTCTCAGTTGTCCTCTCACATGCTTTGGTTTTAGTTTTTTCAAGAGTCACAACAGTGGAGACATTTTTCTTTCTTCTATACCTCTAAATTGTTTTAGTGCTGTGGTTGAAAGTAGATATGAAGCAATTAGTATCAAAGACTGACATCTATATTTATATATACTAATATACATAATATAGATTTGCAGTAAAAGTTCTTTGATGGAATGCATATAAAATCTACTTATTGTTATTAAATGCCAATTGAAGTCTAATTAGCATTGAGTTTATGGATATGGATGTGGACGTGGTGTGAGTGTGAATGTTAACAGAATACTGATAGCCATACTCACACCCTCTACATATAGAGCATCATCCAAGTTATAGCTTTCCTGTGGAAAGGTTTTGTATCACACTTAAAGTTAAGCTAAAGTTTTTAGTTTTTCACACAACACTCAAATCCAAGTTCTATTTTTGGTCATTTTGTCACGGGTCTACAATTCAATAATAAAACTGTAAAAGAAGGACGAGTGATTCCGTCATATTTGAGCGGATTGCATTACTAAACAGTGCTCGAAAGAGTACAATCAATTATTTATAATTCAATGTCTTTCAATATGTATTTTTTTGAGTAGATGGAAAGACATATACCGGCATTTTTCTTTTCTCTTTAGATACTCAGATAGACAATATCTATTAATCCTATATAGATGATAATCAACTACTTACAGACAAATCTCAAAGCTAATTTGACATGGAGTTCAATAGAAAATATCAAACATTTGCAGCGCTTGTTTTAAATGTTGCAGTTCTTTCTTTTCATCGATTTGAATTAAAGTTAACAAGACTTTGTAGAAAACTGAATGTTGTATCTTTTACTACATTTATTCAGCATAATCTATATATCTTTAGAACTTAGAAAGTACCTTTCAAAGTTCATTGTAATGACAGTGGCAATTGATATGGAGTTGACAACTATTAGTATGTTTATATGAAACTTCAATAAATTTTCTATCACAGAAAATGGTTTTCGACTTTGGAAAAAAGCTTGTTAGCACAGCCCTTTTGGGGCTGAAATGTGGAACTCACATATTTTCTTTGATTTCATTATACTAATCACAAAATATCCAGTATTTAAATTCTCCAAAAGATAATAGTTGTTTTCTAATGATAATCGATTACCAGAAAGTGCTGTCTTGTTTATCTCTATATTTCGAACAGAAATTTTTTCTTTTTCTGACGAAGTTTGGGGGGGCGGGGGGGGGAGGAAGCCGCGAAGTCTTGACCTTAAAACTTACACTTACTATTTTCTTCAAAAATATATGTGAGTTCCACAAAACCTGCTATGATATTAACCTTTGTGTTTTTTGTAAATCAGAAACAAGCATAAAAATTAATGCGTTTCAAGTTGATAAGATCCTGGTAAATAACTTATGAATGAGGTTTTAGGACAGTTTTATCTTTTTCGAGATCATAGATATATGTGCTTGCATTTAGGAGTTATTGAAAACAGCTAAAACAACTTATTCGGTTATTATTGTTTCAATTGAAATGTTTGAATTAAAACTGACATGCTCATTTTCGACTTTTAGTTTGCTTGAATGGGCATAGTTAGACTTGTTCTCATGGGTATTGAAATTGTAATTCTATTCTTTCTTGTTATAGTAGCTGCTGTTGCCGAAAAATTGGCTAATATGTGTATGAGTTAGATTCTTGAGATTCGCACACTATCAGGTATTTATATTGATCTCATTATTTTCATTGGTCACGGTCTTCTTATAGTGAGTAAAAATATACTTCTTTTACTTCCTAGAGTGTGGGTGTGTGGTGTGGGTGCGGGTGTTGGATCTTACCCATACTCCCACCAACACCCACACCCACACCCCACACCCTCCATATAAAATATCTGATTTTGATAGGAATCATTCATTTTTCATATCCAGTCAAATCTGTAATGAAACGTCACTTTGCCTTTAGTATAATTCATTACTTTGATTGTTCAATGATTTTTTATTAGTTAAATTTGCTTTTATGGATTAATTTAATAAATGAACGTTCATTAATCAATTAAGATTTACCTATCTAAGAATTAATGTTCAAAATACTCAAATGACAATAAAAATTGAAGTCTTATTCAATGCATTAGTTGATATATTTGTTTATTATTTAAAATTTCAAACAGTATTTAAGATCATTATTATTAGTTCTATCTACGAGTCTTCATCTAACTGATTCTGTTTCAGTAGAAAAAGTCAATAAATAAATATATAAATATTTATATTTACAATATAAACAGACATGAAAATTTTAAAAAAAAACAGATTTTTTTTCAATAGTCAGAGAATTATTTTCATTAGAAGTTTTATACCATAGAATATATTTTCATCAATTTCTGCTATAATTTAGAAAATGAGCTAATTGAATAAGACTATTAATTTAATATTCTTATTTTCTAATTTATTCATTCGAAAATGAATTCAAAAAAAAATCATGTATAGTATTCTTTTTAACTTATAATTATTTTAAAAAAAATTTTATCATAATTGAGTTGAATCTCGAACGGAAACACAATTCACATGAGTAATTTAATGAACCAGCATCAAATCAAAACAAAATGACAATGAATAGAACTATGTATGTCAATGATAATAAGACACTATATCAGCAAATGAAGAAAGTGAATATAAGAAACACTAACATGCAATGGCACGTATATCTCTTGTGAGAAATGCTCTAAAACAGATAGAACATATCGACTCCTATGACTTGATTTGTGTGTCTATCATATTTATTTGATTTTAGCATAGTCATTTTTATAAATGATACCATTTTGTTTTGTTTACTTTGCATTTAGTACGATATTTTGTTTTGTACATATCACAGTAATTTGGAGAAGTAACAAATATTCAATAATTGTCTAAACACGATCTGAAATTTGTAAGGTATTTTATGTTATAATTATATTCTAATTTCAAGAAAGGTAAGTTAATTGAAATACAAACTGATCTTATACACATTCTTAGAAACAATATTTTGTAAAAAACAATTGTTAATCAATGTTGGAATATACAATTACAAAGTTGTTCGCTTCTACCATAGGGGTGTAGACATTATAGAAGAGAAGAGTATTACATGTATGATGGGATCAATACAGTAAAATACGTTGGAAAAACGTTTTTGTTAAAAGTACAAAGGAGCTCTATTGTGTTTCATACTTAAAACTCGCAAGGATTGAACTGATAGCTTCTTGGTTTGCATCTTTCACCTGTTTTAGAGATAATCAGACATTTCTACTATATATTATAATCTATTCTATTCGAGAGTGTAATGGAAAGAAGAAAAAAAAGCGAGATGATGAGAATTCTCTTGAGTTACTCTCTAAAAATGAACGAAGAGGAAATAATAGAAAGAGAAGAATGTCTATCTTCCAAGCCACTCTTCTAGTATCTTATTATAGTCCAATTGTACTATTTTCCATTGGAATTCCAGCAGCTTTATTGAATGCTATTATTTTTATGGGTATAAAAACACTTCGACAATCTCCTACTAGCTACTATGTTGTTGGTCAATCGCTCGCCGATATGAGTGCCTTGTTAGTCGTGTTTCTTCAAGCTGTACCATCAACATCAATGTTAGCATCATCCATTGCATGCAAATTGGGTTTGTTTTTTCTTCAGACAACAGCATGTTTAGCAATGAGTTTTCTGTGTTTGGCTGCTTTCGATCGATGGGCATCTACATCTCAATCAGTTCGCATACGCCAATTAAGTTCAATTCGAATAGCTCGTCGTCTCTTGCCTCTACCTTTTCTTATCTGGCCACTTGTCAATATTCCTTTTTTCATCTATACTGACTTGATACCACCTACTTACAATTGTTGGTTCACCAGCAGTTTATTTGAACAGATTGCGAATTATTTTCTTGATCCCATGCTTGCTGTTGTTTTTCCACTTTCTATTCTAATTGCTTTCGGCCTGTTAACATGTCGAAATATTCGTCTTGTTACTCATATTAGACAACAACCTAATCAAACTCATATGCCAATGTGGGAACAGCAAATGACGAGAATGATGCTTTCTCAAACTCTTGTCAGTGCCATATGTACACTTCCTCGAGCCATATTCATTATGTATTGGGCAGCTACATTCGGACAGAATGTCGAAAAAAGTTTCGATCGAATATCTATCGAACTACTTATCAATCAAGTGTCTGCTATTATTTTATGTGTCAATTTTTCTTCTTCCTTCTTTATTTTTCTTTGCGTTTCATCACGTCTTCGAGAAACAATTAAAATGCATCTCAAACATCTATTTACTTTAAGACGTAATCAAATTAATGCTGCAAACATTTTTCACACAATACCACGAATAATTGTGCACAATGTAGAGAGAGAAAATGTTAATCCGGCTATAGCAACAGAACACGCTTAATGAGATGGACATTTGACGCATTGCTTATGAAGAAAATATCTGTTTACAAACTTTAATACCATATCAATTTATAACTTATGAATAAAGAGTAAAAACTAGACGAAGCAATCAGATAGCTTACACGTTCGATAACCCCAATATTTTTCTTTAACATCAATGAAGTAAAACTAATGAATCATTATTGAAGAACATTGTTACGTGATTTTCTATGTAAACAAATGTATGACGTGATGTTATTTGACATGTGGACGTAACTTGATCATATAAGTAGTCTGTAGCCCTTTCCAACTATTTGAGCACCTTTCATTAGAAGTATTGTAGTTGGGACTACAATGCGCACATGTCACTTATGCATTGCATCCACATAAAACGAATATCGAATAGCTGGCTTAAGAAAAAGGATCAAAACACATTTTTCAATTATTTCATCAGCTCGAATAAGGAAATAGGAGAAATCCTTCGTTAGGCTTTTTAAGCTCACCGAGTAACATGATAATCAAGTAAACAGTTTTTTTCTTGAAACTACTCTTATTTGATTTTCAGCATAACTTTTGTAAAGATTTAAAAATTTTGACACTTTGAAAAACTAGCAACAGTATGAAACTCTATGCATTTTGTAGCCCTAGCAATTCTACAAAAGATAGGAATGTTTTTTATTTAGAAAAGGGTGCATGTAGTGTTAAAAAACAACTAACAAAGGGAAAAGGTCAAAACCGAGTTTTGGTAAAGTTTTTTTTCTTTCCAATGCTACCAAAATCAAAATAAAAGTTGATATTCGTAATCAGAATGAAAGACTGAGTCAATCGACGAGTATTCTCATAATTTTTCGAAAAAAATTTGTTGTTTAATGATTTCAGCTAATTTTACATTTTCTAAACCGTTATTCTGCTTGATAAAACAATTAAAACAATTATTCCCTTTGGCGTCTAAAGCCCGTCCGATATTTAAAAGGTTTTTTTTTTTTTTTCTTCTGAGTTTCAAAAGTCCTTGAAAAATAGAAGAAAATACCAAAAAAGGCACTTTGAAGAATTTAAAAAGAACTAAAAGATTGTGAAGTGTGGAGAGTTTCTTCAATATCCTACATCCACTCACACCCATACTCATATTCATCCCTTTTTACGCAGCAGTCATTATCGCCTATTTCAAATATTCGAGATCAATATCAATATTCTAGGATGATGCTTTTTCATCTACTTCGAATATCATATGTTGATTTGCACTCGATATTACGTGATGAATTCACGTTAATTACTTTTGGTAGAAGATACAAATCCAATGTACATGAGAACCCATAGAACTGACATGAATCACCTTAGAATTGAGAATAATATTAATGTGTGTTGATAAATGTATTTTATAGTATTTCCAAAAAAAATCAATGCTAAGAAACGTGCGTTGTCTCGATCACAACGCTACCAGAGATATTTTAATCGTACAAAAACGCGTTTCGCTAAGACTAATCATTCTATATCACTTTTTTGCAGTTGATTCTTTGAAAATTGCTACATTCATTCAACGAATAAACCTTTTTCATGATGTTTACAAATCATTTAATTTGTGATTTACATAAAGTCAACTTTTTTTTGGTCTTCTTTCGTGTACACCATATGAATTAGTCTCAACATGGTTGTGTGATGATAGAAGACAATTAATAGGACTAATAAGTGTTATTGATAAAGAGTATTGATGACAAGCCATGCTCTTTTCATTCCATGTTGTTCAATAACAGCAAGCAAAATATCAAAAAACCTTGCATTTTTTGTTCTTATCGACTTGATCATAAAATAAATGACAGTTAAATGCAACGATGTAACATATTGCCGCATATCTAAACATATTTCTCCTTCTGTCAGTCGTTGATAAACGCAAAAGAATAATATGTAAGTATAATAATAGTAGGACTTTTATCGTCTTGCGCAAAAGATTCACTATTACAAAACGGAGCTCTTAGTATCTGCAGTAGTCGAAAATTGATCATATCATGATTTTCTGCATTTTTTTATATCAAATTTGTATTTGTTATAGAAAGAAAATCACATGAATCTTGTTTTTACTAAGAAATAGTATTTGATTCAATATTTAGCAAATCTTTCAGATATCATGCGCTACTGTTGCTAGGCCTATCTATGATATACATATAATTTTTGCTTAGTGTGTCGAAAATAATACTCATGAAATGTCATTTAAAACCACTGTTTGAATGTATTCATGAGAGAACACGTTCTTCGTTCTCTTCAAACACCATTTACGAGTAATACTGATAACAACTATCTTTCATTTTTATTGTCTCCTTTTTTTATTTATTTGTAATTCTTTCTATGTTCTATTACTTTATCAACAAAATTGATGCATTGTAAAAATCATTATCTATTTCTTCTGTTTTTTTTGTATGTTTGAGTTGAAGAAAAACTCAGACATGTGTAATATTTTTTTTTGAATAAATATTGATGTTTCAACTCGTAATTTAAAAAGTTCCGTTGAATAAATTTCAATTATTCTATTACAATCTTCAAAACTATCTATCTGATAGTTCATGCGATTAGACATGAATGACATCTGTAGAAATATCAAATCATATGTCCTTGACGAAAACCAAACAAACTGAAGTAAACTAATAAGAAAATATACCTGAATGTCTGTCTCATGATTTTAGGAATATTAGCAAAAGTCATAGTTTCGTTCTTTCTCCATTGATTCATTCATATTAATTATTTTTATATATTTGCACTGTTCGGTTGCACGTTTCTCACTAAGTTCTTCACTGAAAATGCTGTCATGTTTCGCGAAAGATACATTATGTTCATTGCAGCAAATCTCGAAATTTGCTAGACACACCAGGGATCTTTCTAGAAATTTTTAGAATTCTCGATGAAGACATCACTGATAAATGCGTATTTAGAAGAAGATAAATGTGATAAAATAATTAATATGGATATAAGAATAGAAAAAAAAACTATGGTAGGGAATAAAATGCATTGTACTACTAATGAAGCGTATCGTAAATTACGCTTTTTTGAACGGTTTGTTTGAGGTTTTAGTGGGAAAAAACGCATTCAACTACAGACGTTCTCTTATTATTTTTCATGGATATAGCCTTTTCTATATTAGCTTTTTGTTATATCCTAGATCGAACAGTAATTCAATTATACTATGTTGATTGATCCTATTTAATTTATATTGAAGACAATTTTCGATGAAATTTCAACATGACAAAGCTTTCAGTGAAAAACACTGAAGCCATCTTATAACCATGATTGAAAAGTTTATGAATGAATGTGTAGTTGAATAAAATATCCGTTAGCATCCAAATCAGGACACGATAAGTTTAGGGTTGTTGTTCAGAAGATAAAATGTGATTCCATGAAGTTTTAGAATTCGATATTTATCTAATTGGATATTTTTGTTATGGGTGCAATTTGATTGTAGCGATACAAAAAGATTTTTGAAAATTCTTATACCAAAACTCTTAACAGTTTGAATATTACTAGTAGAGTGATAAATTTTCATAACATGTTTAAGGGACAACATACAATTTCCAAAGTTCGAAAACCAATCGTGGCCCGCTTTGGTTGGCAAACCAGTAGATGAAGCCGTTGAAGAAATCAAACGAGAAAATCCAAGTAAGACGGTATCTTAGTGCCATCAACAAGTTATTTCAATTGTCTTTTTTCTTTTCATATTACTTTAGATTTCAACGTGCTGAAAGTTCAAGATAACTCGCCTGTGACGTTAGATTTTGGATTCAATCGTGTTCGTGTTTTCTACAACGCGCATGGCAAAGTTTCACAAACTCCACATATTGGCTGAGTATCAGAACTATAATACCAACAACTATAACAAGCTCGATTTCTTTTCCCATTTCTGAGTTAGCTAGTGAGTAATGACGATAAAATCAGTCAAATAATTATTTTGTATGCAGTAAGAGCTATAGTTTTCAAGAATAAAGCAATAAATAAAATTTAAAAAAGAATCAATGAGCCGATATTGAAAGAGTACGCCTATCATTTAATCAATTTTGCTTATCGATCAATCTCAGGTTTCAATTGATACATTAAATCGGTTCTCATCAGATATTTGAACAAAAATTATTTGTTTTTTTCCTTCTGAATTTAAAAATCGCGTCCAATCAGCATCGGTATCATTCAAATAAATATTAATTGTTATAAAGTTTCGTTCGTTAGCTGAACGAGTACAGTACAAGTCATGATGCGCATCAAAGACATAATCGGAATCGTGATAACAAAATCCAAATATCTCGTTCAAGCCGAGAGATTTCTACGTACTACCACAGTGATTGATATATACAACTATATCGTCACATTCTTAGTCTCAACATGGATGAAGAGAAAAATATGTTTATTCTACGTTTTTTTTTCAATAATAAATCTTCAATAGAACCAAGAGAAAAGATTATCGCCGACAAACAAGTAATTTACATATCATTTGACATCATTGTGTTTTAATAAGTTTTGAATTCAAACCCGTATTTTTATGATTCTTTATCAAATGCAGAAAACAATTTTTCAGTGAGACTATTGAAAGGCAGTCATGTGTGATTCTAATCATAGAAGAAGCATCAGTCTGATTAGATGAAATCAGTAGCAATAGTACATACGATCAATTTTTCACACTTGTGACTTACATATTCTTTAGAAGATGATATCTTGGAATCTTGAGTCTATGACAACTTTTGCTGCACTAGTCGGAACCTAATTACCCCGACAGTTAAAGAAAATTCTGTTGAGGTGTCCGCGAGAAACACTAGTATAGACGGTAGCATATATACGAAAATAAGCAAAGGAGCCCTACTTTTCGGTTTGTGTATCGTTTCCTATAACTTTCTTAATACTTGCTACGTTATCTTGTGGAACTGACGTATGTTTTCGAAGAAAACAGTGAGTGTAATTTTTAAGTTCAAGTTTTCGCGGTTCTCCCCTCATTACAGACCTCAGCAACTGCGTGCAATAGACTTCAGATTTGTTTAACAATAAAAAAAAGACGAGCTGAACAATATATTGATCTATCATAGCACTCATATAATCAACATCAGAAGTATGATGCGATGTTTTTATCAGTTTGAAAAGTATAGTAGTGTGATAAGAGCTGCTGATGCATACAAACTGCATTATTATAATAGTCTTCCTTATGAAATAGTCGATGGTGAAAAAAAAATAATAATTTCAAATTAAAAAAAAACAATAAAAAATGACTATTATCGAGTATATGGCAACAATGATAAATGAAATCGGGCGTTCTCAAACGAAAAAGACATTTTCCATTTTAAATATAGAAATACATAATAAATTCTCGCTCTTATCATCGATTATTAGTGAAAACAACTACAGTCGACACGAAATTTTTCGGTTTACAAACTATGTATTAAAATAGTAAGGTTGAAGAATATATGTGAGTTCTACATTTTAGCTCCAAAGGAACTGCGCAAACAAGTTTTTTTTTCTTTCCTTTCTGTCTCTTAACTCACGTACTACAAAGACCATGAAAGTGGTCACCAGTTATTAGCAAAATAAAAAATAAAATAAAATATCAAACAGATAATTTCTAATGCTTCAATACTTCGAACAAAATCTTTTCAATTATTTCAAATTTATTCTTCAGAAGAAAAAAAATGATAAATTGAAAATTCAAACTTTGTGATCCATATGACAAACTCTCCATAAATCAAAACTTATTGAAATATCAACTTATGTTATTATTATAAATCTTTCAAGACTAGTTGTTGAAAATAATATCATATTCTTTGCTCCCTTTGTCTTCCATCTGTTTTCTAATATCGTTTCTTCTTTTTCTTTTCATTCATCCGTATCTTTCTTTTCTTTTTCATAATTATTCAATTATAGGACATAATAATTTTTTTCTTGACATGATCTAACATTCATTCACTTCTATTGATATGTCATTGAGAAGTTTTTTTTTCAATAATTGAAGAAGAAAATTAAAAACAAAAAATTTAATATAAAATCGGTCGATTTCCATTATATGATGTTTGTCGATAAATGTCTTGATTTTCTTTTCGTTTTCTCCAAACAAAATCATTAACTGTTGTAACATTTAATCTTTGTCCTTCATCTTCGATATTTTTTTCTAAATGAATATTTTCATTAATTTCATTAACAAAATAATAAACAACTAGCATAGGTCCAGCACAAATTTCTATTTCATCTTCATCATGAAAAAGAATTAATTTTTCATGTTTGAAACATTTTTTGTAGTTTTAATGAATAAATTAATATTTCTTTATGAGATAAAATTTGAGGAACACAATAAACAGCAATCATTGTTAAACCATCCTGAAAAAGATTTCTTTTACTTTTAAAAAATTAATGAAAAATAAAAACAATGAACCATGTCACTAAAATGTCCTAAACCATGTTCATTCAAACGTCCACAAATATCAGATACTAAGATTTCTGCTCATTTATAAAAATGATGAAAAAGAAAAAAAAAAAAGAAAAGATTTAGTTTATTTTTGAAAAGAAATGAAAACTTTTTTGTCCTTGATAAATAGTTTGATCATGATATGATGAAAGTTTGTAAACAATTAATAGAAAAAGATAAATACTACTTGAGGGTTTAGATGTGGGTGTTTAGGGTTCCTCAACTCACACCCACGCTCACGCTATTAAATGCAAAATGCTCTTGCATCTAATTATCATTGTATATTTTCTCCTCCTCTTAATAGCATAAAATGCAGAGAAAAGCAATAAAGAGAGAAGAATATTGAAAGAAAGAAAACATATGCAATAATGAGCACATCCTTGTAAAACAGATTAACTATCTGATAACAATTTCATGGTCCATTAATTGACGTAAACATGAGTAAATGGTAAGAAGATTGACTAATTTCGTCCATTATAAATACAAAGTAAAATCGATTACAAGCACATACAACAAAATTTGTACGCTCTCATATCATTTAACAAGTATGTACATATGACATCCAACATTAGTAGACTACCGATAAAATTAAGGCTCCCCCTCAAAAAATGTCAATTTTCGTCAGAAATTTTGAAACTGAGGTAAATGTATGGAAAGATAGCCCGTCATCTAGTCTTTCAGAAAGCATAAAAATTTTTACTTGATACCTACTTCTTTCAAAAAAAAAAAATGAAGATTTCTGCCACCCTCCCTATTCGAAAAACCAGCTGTTTTTTAAAAACTCGAAAATGGTTTTTGTTTTTTTTTCAGTTTATACTTTTTTGATCCGCCACCCAAATTTCTCTGTCCAGGATCATTCAATATATTAAAGTTTTTTTTTGTTTGAAAGAGCGTGAAAAGATGCAAAGCCTGATAGACTTCCTTTTTTAAATTAACCTTTTTCGTTATTATATATACAAACATTTATGTAAATTGGCTCCCATTTTTAGAGAGTTTTTTGAGACATTGAACTTGTCATCCATTTTCTTCACTTAAAAAGTAAGAATTTAAAAAAAAAGAGTTCTATCAGTCTCTGCATCATTTCACGCTCTTTCAAACAAAAAGAAATAAATAAATATATAGGATGAGCCTGGACAGAGAAAAATGGGTTGCAAAATGAGCTATTTTTGACCCTTGTTTGGTTCATAACTCTGTCAAACGTCATGGTATCGATCTGAAAATTTTACCGTAGCCTCTCCACTATAGCCCCGACATATTCTGAAAATTTCATGCAATTTGAACGTACCTGAGCTGAGATTAGTTTTTGAGGGGGGGATCTTAAACTTAAAAATTGAGAGTAATTACAACGAACAAAACATAAGAAGACATGGAAATAAAGTATGTTAAGTAATAGAAAATAATTATCAGGAAAATTCTGATTGACAACGCTCAGAGTATGGAATCCATGACTTTGATCGAAGCAGCTCTTTGACGTAAAATAGTGTTACTGAAAACTATGTTAACCCTTTCCGGCCGGATGTTGCCTTTTGGCAACATTTTTGCCGTAGGGGGGTACGAGAATTTTAAAAAACTCGACCGTCTAGAATTGATCCTTATAACTTAACAACAAAGAATATACAGAAAGATAATCATTTGCTGCTTTCTTCTGATAGCCGGCCGGAGAGGGTTAAACAGAATGACCTTTACAATGCTTACATTTTACCGAACATTACGGTAATAGATGATGGAAATTTTACTGTTAAGAAGTTAACAAAGCAATGAAGTTAAGAATTTCTTACTGAAGTTTTTTAATGATGCCGTAGCACCGCAAAATCTATTTGAACATCGACAAAGTCTGTAAACACCTAGGATTTGAACATCAAAGCAGAGGATCTTCATTCACAGAACTAGAAAATCTACAATTTTTTAAATGCACTTTACAGCAGACTTGATGTCTGCTTCATCATGTGAGTGCGTCTTTTTTTAATGTTTTTAATTTAAAATTCATGAAAATCAAGATATTTTGTTGATTTTTTTTTTGAATTCCTAGGTATCACAGTGAAACAAGAAGGGCAACATATTCAAACGATCCTCATATTGATTTTGATATTTCTCAGAATAGCTTACAAAATTGAGATGCGCGCAAGTTTTAGAGTACAGATATTTTAGTTTTCTTTGTAAAAAAAATTTTTTTCTATAGCGGAAAAAGTTCAGCATATTTTTCGTTAATCGATTATAACTGAAAACAGTTTTATACATCGCTCAGGATAGAACTTTATCGGCTACATTTTGGCATAAAGTATTTATCCTGATATTAAAATATTAATCAATTGTCATATTACTATTAGTTAATTATTATTTAGTATTAATTAATAGTCAATTAGTAAAACTTCACTCTATTTTCAATTTTCAGATATTCCATGAGAAAAAAG